CTCTGTCTACGTCAGGTATGGAAATACGAACAGTTGTTCCAACTTCCAACTCTTGATATTTATTGTTTGATTGGGTCATCATCCTTTCAGCTTGCTTTTTTAAACATTGAATTGAATTATTTCTTTCATTTGTAATATTTTCTTGACGTTTGTTAACTAAAATAAAACGTAATATTTAAAAATTAAATATTTTTATCCTTATATTTTTTACGTTTAACTCATAAACTACTTGTCCTAAATTTGATTTCTATGTATCAAAATACTCAGAAAATTATTCTGCTTTGGAATATGAAACTAAAAGTCTATGTTGTCATTCAAAAAAGTAAAAATCTTAAAAAAATATAAGGATAAAAAATATTTAAAAATATAATTTTTTAATAAAAACGTTGTTTTTTAACAACTCAAAACTACTGTAAAAAAATGTTTTCAAAAACATGAATATTTTTTTGAAATAATAAGTGTTTTATGATAAAAGATTTAAAATTTAAAAAAAATTAACATACCAAGACATTTCTCGTCCCTGATTTCATTGTTTTCAATGTTATCGTCTTTGATCTCATTATCCTCATTGTTTTCGGGCTGTATCATTATTTTTTCAATATCCGCTTCCGTATTTAAATTACAAATTTCTTTTATTGGAATGCCAACTGATGCTAATCCAACTCTTGCTTTGCAACCAAACATTGCCTCGTAAAGAGACCTTCCAATGCCTTTAATATTGAATTTGATAGAAAAAAATATTATTTAACAATATTAAATATTTAATATAATATATTACAAAATAATATTTATACCTGAATGCAATGCACGGTTTTTTTGAAATTGTATAAACTTTAACCCCGAAGGCCAATCTTTGCTTTTATTTTGTGCCATCCATGTTGCTAGCATGTCTTCGACGTCGCGGTTAGCTCTCTCTACAGACCCTTGGCTTTGGCTGTGTCTAGGTTTGCCATGTACTATTTTTACATCTGGCCACATGAAATGAAGCTCATTAATTATTGAATTGACAAATTCTCGGCCATTGTCTGAATGTAGAATGGCCGGTGCTCCGAAAGTTGTATAAATATCCAACAAATTGTGTGCGATCTCTTCCGCACGTTTACTCGATAAAGCTCTAAATAACACGAATTTCGTAAGATGGTCTTGGTAATTTAAAATGAAGCGGAATCCATTAATATTTTGTGATTGCATATCAATTAAATCGATTTGAGCTCTTGAATTGAAGGTGGAATGTAAAATAGGTTTCGAAACTAAGCCTCTTTTAGGATTCGATGACTTTTTTTGGCAATGTGTGCATAAATTTAAATATGCCATAATAGTTTCGTTCGTAATATTGCAATATTTTGATTTTAACTCAGAATCCATTCTACATCTTCCGCCATGGCCAATAGTAGAATGAGTCGAATGCAAAATATTGAACAACTCGTCAATTGTAACGTAATACAGTATAGTATAGTCATTTACAGGTTTAATAAGACGCTCTTTATTATTTATTGTTAAAATATCATATTTACGTACCATTCGGTAATCTTTCATAGACTTTTTTTCTCCTGGCGTTTTCAACACAAATTTTGAATGCTTTAATTGTTCAATACGAATATTGTACTCATCAATGGTTAGAAAGGAGTTATTATCACTACGTTTTTTTTTAATTATATCAGATATAATGTTGTTAAATTTGTTTTCCATTTCAAGTTCATCCATATTGAATTTTATTAATAAAGAAAATTAACACAATGTTTTACGAATATTTTAACATACAAAAATAATATGACGATATAATGGCGACGTCTATCCTATGCGTACCGTGAAAAACTGACAACAATATTATATTTACAATAAAGTCCTACACTAGTAAGCCCCACTAAGCTTATTTATGCTTTATTTATAAATCCGAAATCCATAGTCCGAAGTTCTATCTACTGCGGCTGTAATACTATCTAGAACAGGTATCTAATACCATTAAGATAAAATTATATAACATTATTTTCCATCGTATGTAGAAATTATCGATAATCAAACCCAAAAAATAATAAACCACGATAATCACTAGTTTGTTAGGTAATTATTGTTATTTACTAGAAAATAACGTTATTTTAATGTTTAACATCATTTACTGTAACATATATAT